AAAAAAAAAAGAGATATCAAGTATGGTCGCTAGGGTCACGCATGTAATTCAACGCAATTTCCTGCTTCGTAGGGATACGGCGAGGTCTATATGGAGGGACAGGATGCCCCCCATGTACCTGAGTAACTATATTTGAGCTCCAGGTGGCCGTTTGTAGACCCTTGGGTTGGTCTCAGGGATGCGTATAGAGAATTTCGTTACCTCCCAGTATTATTTGCGATGGGAGTAGTGGGCATTTCTCAGAGGCTGCACGAGACGGGTTCCTTGGAGGCCGATGATATTGAATGATGAATTCAAAGCCCGGGCATATACCCCGCCCGAGGAAGAACGTTGGGCGCGAATCGTAGGGAAGGGTATCCAGGAACTCAAGTAGAGATTCCAGGAGACGAGCCAAGACAAGTGGTTCTCAGAACGTGAGGAGGGGTCGGTGCGAAGAGCAAAGAAAAGTGCCAGAAAAGAAGATGGAAAAACTTGACCTAACTCATTCAGCGGACTGCCTGATCAGATAAACTGGTCGTTGGGCATGCCATGGGAGATGATTCCGAAAGTTCGAGACAATTAGGCACTGAGTTGTCAACCCTCTCTTTTCTTGCAGGCTGCATGCTGCCCAAGTGCCCAATCAACATCCAACCTTCGGGTTGAGTAACTACAATCGGGCGACAGCTGAAGCAGGTACGAAACATGCCTCTAGTATTGTGCAGGAAGTCTTTAGTGGATCTCAATGGCTATGTGGCATGAATAACATGGAGACTTTTTCTAGTGTTGGATATTTATATATATATATGTACTCCGAGCAGAGGCTGTAATTATTGAATTAGATTAATCGAATGGGTGTGTATGCACATGGACGTACATGTTTATGTAACATACCTCAGTGTGAGTAAAGCTACTAACTACATATATTGATGACGTACTATCCACCCACAACTCATTTCGATAACGAACCATGGATGAATATTCGTCGCTGCCTTCTTTTCTTCCTCTCCTTTCCGAGGAGGGGGGACGAGGGGGTTTGGTCCAGCATTGGCTTTAAGAATTCTTAATTAAACACACCACGAGGATCTCTGTAGCCCAACTAATCAGCGCCTTGGTAGTAGGACTATACCAAAGAACCAACAGTTCTTTCCCCACCAACCTGGTATCACAATTGAGATACTACTGTGAGTGGAAGACATGCTTTTTACTACGAGAACCTGTCATTGCTGTAGTCCAAGCAACTACGGTTACATCCCTGAGCGGCTGGGCTGGGGTGGGGATGAAGCCTACGAGGCATTAAAAGGTCTTCTGATAATAGGACCCGTGTCAAAAGGTGTGTAAGTTGAACACCTCTCTCCAGCACCTTTCAACCCCGAAGGAGAAGAGCTCTAGATAGTATAACAATAGGGGAGGAGATATTCATTATACATGGAGTTAATGGATTCATGGTGAAGTTAACTTGCGTGCTCACTTAACATAAGTTGCGGTCAAGAAGCTCTTGGGCTGCAATGAGTTCGCCTTGCGCATGCTCCCAAAGCTGGCGGTTTCCAGACCGCTGTTTTACAATGTCCTCAAGTTTTCTTCTAGCAAGAAGATTCAATTTATCGGCCTTCTCTTTGGGTAAGAAATCATCCGTTGACGCCGACGATGACGCCTGCGCAAAACCCATCGTGTATTCTCTTTTAAGTTGAAGCGAAGTCGCCTGGGGGAGCAAAAGTCAGTATATATATGAGCATTTAGCACAGACGTCAAACCCGAGTCTCGGTAAGCAGAAGACAAAGACTGGACAGTGGGTACGAGGGAAATCATGCAGCAGATAGAGGCTCACCAAAACTAAGCCATAAAACCCCCTAAGATAATCGTCACATAGTTCGACGCTTCTACAAAAATATTGGATAGATCTTTGCAAATACCGAGAGGAAACTTCTGTCCCCGCAGTGCGGGCGCAGATGTATAGAACTTCTCCAAGACGAGCATGAATCTGCAGTAGAAGTTAGACAGTCTTGGATGGAAAGCAAGCAGTGGATACATACATTCCAAGCATTAGGGGCGATTAACAGGGCCTCTTCGAGACTGAATATTGCTTGCGAGCTCAATCCTTGAGACTGATATAGATCTGCAAGTTCACACCAGGCCTCTGCATCGGTAGGCACGGCTTTTAGGAGCTCTACCAAGCCGGTTATAGCATCTGCAGGCCTTGAAAGTGAACGCAAGAGCGCGACACGGCGTTTTAAAATAGGCTACAAGAACCAGTCAGTAGGCGATCATCAATAAACATATCATGACAAACCAAATTAAGTGGGTTCTCCGACAGGTAGGAATCGTATTTACGTAGGGAATCCTCCAGATCAGACTGATTTTCAGCTATAGCCTCCTCATATAGGCCACGCAACCCCATTACTTTCTCATTCGAAGAGCCGAAACGACATGTCAATTGCTCGAGACATAACAGAGCAGACCTATCATCACCGGTTTGTAGACAGGAGAAGAACAGTTGCTCTATTACACCATATTTCTCTGGTGACTCTTGTTTAGCTATTATTGCAGATATTGGATTCTTCTCCGAGTGTAGTTGATGTTTAAGGATCACTGGTGCCTGCTGAGAGAAACGAAGGGTAGTAATCGGACTTGAGCTCTGAATGGCATAGAATTCGGGTGTAGCATGAGCCATGGTAGTACACACTTAAGCCCAGTGAGCACACTAGTTCATATGTTATTGAGAGAACAACAAACTCTACTATGCTCGAAACCCCTTTTGTAGAGAAGAGACTGGGGGGAACAGAAAGAAAGAGACAAAACCCAACACTGGCAGGGGTAATAAGCATGGCCTCTCATCCTGTGTACCCGGCCATAGGAGCTGAGTTCCCATTCTGGTTAGTCACTCGATCTGATAACCGTTCCCGTGACCAAGTAGATGTCATTTTAATTATCCCTCCACCTCAACTAGTAACCAAATCTCTACTTATCAGGCTGTTATTACAATAACTCTGTACTGGCTTCTGTACTGGCTTCTGGTCTATATGCAATTGATTACTATCATTATTCGCGGCAGGCGAAGGATATAACCAGGGCTGAAACATTACTCTCCATGTGACATCAACCAGTGATTCTAATGCACCTGAGAGTCAACCAGCAGCGCATTCAACCATAATGTTCGCACCTCTCATTTTCGTGCTACTAGAAAGCTTTGCTAATAATCAAGCAATGTAGGTTTGAGAAATCTCTTTATGACCTTATAAAAGGTTTGAGGAATCACAAGGGGTCAGAGGAGGACTACATACAAGACAGTCTTCGAGAGTGTAAGGCTGAGATCAAGTCTCAGGATATGGGTATGTTCATGTCAGTCTCATGCCATTTACAGTCTGTTCTATAGCTCACTCTGTACAGACAAGAAAGCTACAGCTCTACTGAAACTGATCTACTTGGAAATGTTTGGGTATGACATGTCCTGGGCTTCGTTCCATGTACTGGAAGTCATGTCATCTACCAGGTACCTGCAGAAGAGAGCTGGCTACCTTGCAGCAGTACAGAGCTTTAGACCAGATACTGAAGTCCTAATGTTGGCTACAAACCTACTAAAAAAGGTATTCAAAGGTACATCAGGCAAATTATCTCCGGCGTCTAACGTCTTCATAGGATTTGGTGTCGCCTAGTATCCCAAACATGTCCCTCCCTTTGATTACATTGCCAAACATTATCACACCTTCACTTGCAATGTCTTTGCTTCCAGATGTTCTGTCCCGCATTTCTCACTCACATGCTGTGGCTCGTAAGAAAGCTGTTGTGTGCCTTTATAGACTTGCCCTGGTTTATCCCGAAGCGCTAAAATTGGCATGGCCCAAAATTAAGGACCGCCTCATGGATGATGAAGAAGATAGCAGCGTCACCACAGCGGTGATTAACGTTGTATGTGAACTTGGATGGAGAAGGCCGCATGATTTCCTGCCTCTGGCGCCAAGATTCTTCGACCTATTAGTGGATGGAGGGAACAATTGGATGGCTATCAAAATAATAAAACTTGTATGTTTCCTTTCCCCCGGTACTGTGCACATCTTCCTAACAAACATAGTTCGCAACATTGACACCCATAGAACCACGATTAACACGAAAACTTATCCGGCCATTGATCAACATAATACAAACAACAACTGCCATGTCATTGCTGTATGAGTGTATCAACGGCATAGTTCAGGGCGGTATTCTTGATGGCGAGGAAGGGCTGGAAGAAAAAAACGAGATTGCAAGTCTCTGTCTCGGAAAGCTCCGAGGCATGGTGGTCACAGAGTCCGATCCCAATTGTAAGTCCTTTCAAATCGGAGCATAGTAGTGAGACTAACAAGATTGTATAGTAAAATATGTTGCTCTCCTTGCCTTCAACAGAATTGTGATGTCTCACCCCGTCTTGGTGTCAGCTCATCAGGATGTTATCATGGATTGTTTGGAGGATCCGGACATTTCAATTCGACTGCGAGCCCTTGACCTCGTGACTCGAATGGTAACAAGCGATACGCTCCAGCCAGTGGTAAATCGGCTTGTTGATCAACTTTTTAATGCCGGTCAAGTCACCAAAAGCACTCTTGTAGCCGAGAGTTGTGAGACAGGTATACGCACTGACATGCAAGAATCTACATTATCAGAAGGTCTACATGTTCAGAAGATACCGGTTGCCTTGCCAAGCGACTATAGCATTGAAGTCGTACACCGAATTTTAGATGTCTGCTCTTACAACAATTATTCGGAGCTGCCTGACTTCGAGTGGTACGTTGACGTTCTCGTCCAATTAGTCAAGCTGCTTCCTCCAAGCGTTGAAGAGCTTCCTACCCAGTGCAATTCATGTCAGGATCCTGAGTACTACAAAAACTGTGTTGCTTTTCGTATCGGCTCAGAAATACGCAATATCGCTGTCCGCGTTAGGGGCGTTAGAATGGAGGCGACCAGAGCTGCAGAGACTCTGATCCTAGTTGATAACAAGCAGGGTCCGTCTCTTCTTATCTCCAAACAAATGAATGACATCTTAGGGCCTCTTGCCTGGGTCACTGGTGAATTTGCAGAGCATCTTGCATATCCTGGCCAAACCCTTCAATCACTGGTCGATATGTCGAACGTGGCGTTATCAGCGAGAACGCTGTCCCTTTATATACAGGCTATTCCCAAAATCCTGGCCTATATCGCTTGTGCTGGAGGCAAAGCGTGGGACTCTTCAAAGAACAGTGAAATGACCCTCTTACTAGGTCGAATCATCGAATTTCTTGATGTTTTGGCTGCCCACCCAGACTTGGACGTGCAAGAAAGGGCCATCGAATTTTTGGAGGTCATGCGCTTAGCAGCAGATGCCGTCCAGGCAGAAACTCTAGAACTGGGTCCGGCACCATCCTTGCTGTCATCTATGGTTCCCAGCTTGTTCCTTGGACTAGAACTCAACCCGGTCGCTACCAACGCCCAGAGGAAGGTTCCTTTGCCAGATCAGCTTTCTCTAACACGGGAGTTCAACAAGGAACTGTATGGGCTTTTCCATAACCCAGCCAAGTGGCTTCCGGAGCCAGCAGGCCAACTACCATCTCAGATGTTTTATCACGTTAAGGAAACTTCAGTGCTAGATAAGCAGCCTGTTGAATTTGTACCTCTGGATTTGCAACTTAATCCAACATACCAGGACCTCTCCAGTGGCTTGGGCGATGACACTGCTGCTTTTAAACGGAGAGAGGAACGGAAAGAACGTAACAGGGATGATCCATTTTATATTGCTGCTGAAGATGAATTATCTTCTGGCACATTGACACCATTTCACCAAGCTCTTAATACTTCAAACGGTAGTGGGCTGGATATTGACTCTATTCCCATAGTTGATCTCAAGTTAAGCGGCGCCGGAAGCCATCGCACTTTGGCGTCTATATCGCGCGATAACCGACAAGGTGGTTCACGCCCTAAAAAGTACGAGATTGCACCTGATGAGATGATCGGACAAGAAGATTCACCCCATCTTAACCCCAATGATGAACCAAGTAAAGCCAAACGATCTCTTCTACAGGTCGACTCGAGTGGCCTCGAGCATTTATCCTTGGATGGCAGGGGCAGCCCCTTGGTAGATACCACAGTTCCTACGATGGTGGCCGGGCATGATGCAGAAATGGCTATGGCTGTGCAGGAAGTGGAAAAGCTGCGGCTAGAGATGCAAAGAGCGTCGGAACGTGTTCATCCGAATGGCATCCCTGCAGAAGGGACGCTGGTAAGGAAGAAAAAAAACTAAAAAAGCCTGCACATATTAAATCCCAGGAAGCTGCCCTGCTGAAGCCTAAAGATGCATTGTCGGTGGACAACACTCAGCAAACGTTACTTCCATCTGTGGTACCAAAGAGAAAGAAGAAAGCAAAAAAACAAACCAATGTTGACTCGGGTAGCGCAGTCTAAGGCACATCCACTCCTTTGTGGGTGCCGTGGACCCATTACATGCCTGGAAATTGGTGGCTGGGACTGGATGAGCCCGGTAGTATTTGCTAGCATATACATCCACCTGTCACAGTGGGTTAACCATCATTGATGGCTATGAAAGTGTTCCCAGGCTCCTTTTTACGCCCTTGACCAAAAACGTAGTGCCCTCGTCTTGCGGGTGGTTGTCGCTGCTAAATTCCGGTAATGACACGATTTTTCCGATGCAAGATATAAATCATGTATGGTAAACTCATTTGCCTAAGGCTGGGGGATCAAGGAGTATATACTGAATCAAATAAACGCGACACGTAGATACGACAGTGTTCTTTTAGCGAATACCTAGCCTAGATTCATGCCAATTTGCGATTGAACATCTCAACAGCAGCCGACCATAACTCTGGAACAATCCTCAGCGCCTCAAATGCAAGCCCACCACAGACCGCAAAGGCAAGAACGACTGTTGGCCTCATTAGCCTCTGGGACCGCGATAATTCTAGACTTTCGAGACATACCAACCCAACCGGTAGACACGGGAGATTTCGAGTTCTGTTTTTGTTTTGTTGCGGTCTTTCCTTTGCCACGCTTTGCAGCCTCGCTCTTTGCGTACTTTTCATTCGCCTTCCGTTGCTGTGGCGTCTGTGCCTAAGGTGGCTAATTTAGCAAATATAGGAGTAAAGAAGTGTGAGATTGGAGCTTACCATTTTGGTGGGAAGGTCCAGGTACTTTTAAAGGGTGGGAGGAGCAGAGACTGTACTGTAGCGAAGAGTGTGTAGTTAATATCACTCAATCATCTAGGGCCCAGCTTCGCGTTGACGGTTAGTTTAGGGTTGGCTTGGGAATAGTTAGGTGAATATGCTAATGTGAAAGGCCACGTTGCTTTAGCATTGTTGGAGGAGTGCAATAGGGAGCTGCCAAGTCTCACTTGACAATTAAAGGACAGTCTTATACACTCTGCCCTGACTACAGTACGCCCTGGAAACGGGATTTTCTGTACTAGACCTTTGAGTTGTCCTATATATACATGGGCTGCTGCTGCCCTATTAATAAACGTAGATGTCAGCAGGAAATGATGTGTTCAACCACGAAGGCCCGGTGAATTGGGCACCAGCCAACATACAACTGATCTTGCTGGCGGAAGCAGTAAGATAACCTGGCCCAGGCATTACCAATGTCAGGGGTAAGAACCCTTTGTTACAGACCCTTGTCTAGCGTACCTTGTCAAAGGTGGACACACAAGGCAGAATAACAATAGAATAACGACGGCCGGTTCTAGTATAGCTGGCATTTAATAAATTACTTATCTAATAATTATTCGGGAAGAGCTGCGAATATCA